AATATTAACACGTTCCGTGCCACGTGTACCATAAATGGTACACGTTAAACTTGACCATCAGGCCACGTGTACCATAAATGGTACACGCGGACATATTTATTTAAAGCGCTGAAGACATACATTTTGTGACAAATTTGCTTGTATAAAATATATTTCCACCAAAAGGATGAGAGGCATTGTAAAAAATGCTGTATAGAACAAAGCACATAAATTTGTTTAATCGTTATATACACAATAACTATTGATTACAATGTTTGACTTTTTTAAAGCAAGAGCTGCATAAAAACGGTTGATTCGGGCAATCACTACTTATCTACTGATGATATAATGAAATATTATGTGATAATGTATCAATCTTTAGTCAAAACATCAAATGGCCTGAACGACAAGTTAGGCAAAAATGGCTTGGCACGGAACGTGTTAATATAGAATTGTATTGAATACTAATATAGAATTGTATTGAATATAGTATTGTATGATCCCAAATTCTGTTCTAAAAGAAAGGCAAACAGAATCGTAATACGCGGCTCTGAAAACGAGAGAGTAGTTTTCTGCGTGAAATTTTTAATTGTTTGAAAATTAAGAGCCGCGTATTATTATTCTTTTCTGTTAAAAACAGAATTTAGGATCACACCACGCGTGATTCTATTGCGAGAAGAATTCCGTTTTATATTTTGTCCGATATCGAAGGAAAAATTCTGGGCTGCACGTCAATCAACACCGTCGGCTGGAAGGTACGCGGGGAACGAGATTTATTGTTTAAATAAACGTCGATAAAGTGTAACGAAACGAAAATTTATCTATCTCGAAATGCCGAAGAATATAAATATGGAAAGCGACGAAAGGTTTCATCGATATTTTTCATTATAAAAAGAATGCCGAAGATCATCTTTATTTGACTCTTTGGTTTACTCGAGACTCTCTTTCTAATTAGAACGTCCAATTAGGAGGACATACGATATACTTTTATTATTGATTTTTTTTTTTTTGAAAATCTACTAGATTCTGAAGCGTATTGGAATATAGACGATCTTCCTCGGTTTTGTAAACGCGAGTTACATGCAACTTACGGAAACGTATTCAACTCACAGAATTCAATCCATAGTTGGAGCTACATGTACGTGTATAAGTTACACAATTTCTTGATCGAATGTAACGCGAGTTAAACAGAACGTACATTGTGTTTAACATGTTCATAGCAAAGTAATCAGTGTGAATTGTCTACCTACTACTAGCATACCGTCAATCTGATGACTGTTTAGAAAGATCAGCTTGTGTTTTGCAATTATCATCATCATCGTCTTTTGAACAATTAAATAATTGCTTAACAAATATGACGAATGAATTTTCGGTGGAACTGTAGCTATCATATTCGAACACATTTAATTTTAATGTTTAAAGGAAATTCTATATATACCGTTTTATACGTAATTTCTGTAATTAGAAACAAGAAGCTATTTCGTCGAGTTCGGTTGCTCCGATATGAAATTTATTTGAATTCGTTAGAACGGATGGAAGTCCGTGAATTATACGGGATTGTGTAAATTAAAGAAGGACTGTGTTACTAATCGACCCGGTTTCGTACAGTAAGCTCGAAATTTAATTGTAGCCTGCGAACTCTCATAATAATCCCGAAATGCTAAAAGTCGGGAGCCCTCGTGAAAATAGTATTTTCTGTTTGTGTCGTTAATATTTTAAAGATCTATATATTTCAGGAAAACGAAAATTTAATTTAACACAGTCATCATTAGTCTGCGGTCTTTACACACCGATTACGGACGAAGTCGTTTAAATGTCTGCACAACGTTTTTACCTTATTCATTCCTTCAGAATCTTTGACAGAAGCAATAAAAATTTCTTTACAAATTATAGTTTATTTCTCTAGGTAAAATTACAGAGATCTGTATTTGCATAAATACCTGCAGTCTTGTCGTCGTATAAATCTGGAAAATGAAACATCTTGTAAGTATACGAACTCATTCAATTTTACACGTTTAATTTAACTTTAACTTACACTAACTTTAATTTAATTTAACCAAGTTTGTACATTCTACGCTATACATTGTTTAAAATGTCCACTACGGTAACAATGTAATAACATCGTTACGTAACCTTTAACATGCTGACGAAGTAAAATATATGAAAAGATATCTGGCCTCCCGAGATCATGGTACATGATGATGCAAAAATAAGTCGAAAAAGAGAAGTGACAATTTTTCGTTTAAGGCTTCGTTTTCGACAAAAATGAGTTTGAATATCTGATCATGACTTGCCGATTCTACTTTCTGTCATACCACAAGCCATACGAATTTGATATAAATAAAATATTATATATAATATTATATAAATATTATATAAAAATATTACGTAAAATATTATATATAATATTATATAAATATTATATAAAATATTATATAAAATATTATATATAATATTATATAAAATATTATATATAATATTATATAAATATTATATAAAATATTATATAAAATATTATATATAATATTATATAAAATATTATATATAATATTATATAAATATTATATAAAATATTATATAAAATATTATATATAATATTATATAAAATATTATATATAATATTATATAAATATTATATAAAATATTATATATAATATTATATAAAAATATTATATAAATATTATATAAAATATTTTATATATAATATTATATAAATATTACATATAATATTATATAAATATTATATAAAATATTATATATAATATTACATAAATATTATATAAAATATTATATAAAATATTATCCCCTTTCTCGACTTATTTCTCAATGTAGAGTCACCGTTCTGCTGTTTGTACCTTGATTTCGAAGACACCGAAATTCTATGCGATTATAATAATTATGTATCTTCAAGTGGCTCCAAAAATATTTGCAGTCTACAATGTTTGATAAACAGTCGATATTAAATGTGTTATAATTATGTAAAAAAGCGTTGTATAATAATTAACTTGCATTCATTTTAAAGCTTGAAACTTCTACTTTTGCAATGTATAGTTCGTTCTCTGGTGACGTGTTCATGCATAACATAGCACGCGGGAACCTAACGGCATGTTATTTTTTGGAAATCTTACGGATTGAAATGTCTGTGAATACATTGGAAAATTTTTCTCGTGACTAACACTAACATAAATATCAAGATCGAAGCCTCCTCTTTACAACGACCCCTTAAAATTTGACGAACGATTTTTTTTTAGACACTTTATCCAGCTTTGAATGGAAGGTATACCGCTTACGTTACGATAATTCAAGGGCTTCGCACGATCGAACTTGCACCTCGTTTCCGTTCCATAAAAGGGCTAGAAAAAATCGTACATCAAATTTTGAGAGGTCGTTTTAAAGGGGAAGCTTCAATCCTCAAATCCATGATAGATTTATCGATGAACGAAATTCTTCAACGTTTCTGGAGACCTCATGTTCGGTTTTCTGTTTGTTATATTATGTAAAAACGTATTAAAACGGTGCATTATTGTATGACTCGTTTTCACAAGATTATGACAGTTTAAATGTCGACAATTTCTCGAAAATCGAGAAGCGAGTAGTCTTTGGAACGGGCCTGAAGCTGACCAGTTAGACATTCTTCGCTTTGATCTTGTTCATTACTTTGGGACGATACATTTGATTTTCGACACCGACCAGTGGGTATTGTGCGACTGTGAATTAATTTGCAAACGTTTCATTTTCCAGCGAAATTCATGCCAGAATCGACGCCGCCTCCACCACCGCCATACGGCTATCCGGCCCCAGGTATGCCGAATCAAATGGCCCCTCCTCCTCCTCCTCCACCGGCCCCAGCTGGAGCAGCCGCGACTGGGCCCCAAACACCTGGCGCAGCATTGGTCAGCAACGAGAAAGTTCCCAGCGTGATGTAAACGGCTCCACCGTGAATCGCAATACAAATTTTCCAAAAGTAAACTTAAGCGAATCATCACACGAGACGAGAAGAACACAGAAAGGAACGGAAACTTCAACCGAAGAAAACGCTGGCGACAGCGTCTATTCCCAATTAATCCTGCAACTAATAGATCTCTTTTCGATCACACACAGAAACACACAGACATACGCCGACAGACAGACAGACACACACACACACACACACATACATACACGAGATTCTTAGAAGGAAATCGAGCCTCCGTGGAATAAGGTTCGTTTGTGTCGATTCTCCGGGATCTCTGGGGATCTGTGCGAGATCTATCGTGATCCAGATCTCGTATTAGAGTGTACCGGAGCCTCATAGAGATTCTTAGAAGGAAATCGAACCGCCGTGTAAACGATTGAGGATCGCGGACCGAGACGGGATCGACGGTCGTTGGCTCTCCGGGATCTTCAGGGATCCAGACGAAATCTATCGCGATCTAGATCCTGTCTTAGGTGCTCGATCGAGGATGGGAGGCAGTTCCATTGTGCAGCCGACGCGGCCATAGGATTTCTAGGACCTCTTCGTGGCCGAGGAACCTCTTTCGCGAGGATAAATTGAAGAGAACGAGTATCGAAGTTGTGAATATAATAAATAGCGTAAACAGATTAATCACCGAAGCTTCTCACTGTCCACGAAAGCGCTGAATCACGCGAGGATCTACGGTCTAGCTCGCTGGAAATCTTAAACGAAAATCCCGCCGTAATGGTTTCTGTTTCCGTGGGGAGCGATTCGCGAAATCCTCATTCCACCGAGACGCTCGCAGTTGAATTAATTAAACAGATCATCATCCGTCGCTTCCGGTGTCGATCGTCGTACGATGATCCTCCGAACATTTGTTTCGATCCAACGGTTTCAATCAGCACGATCTACGAGCGTGATCCTCGACGCCGTGATTCCTTAGCTTTGTCCCTAGCTGGTGAGACAACTGGTCAGGAGAACGAAAACTAGAGCACGTGAGAGAGAGAGAGAGAGAGAGAGAGAGAGAGAGAGAGAGAGAGAGTATGAGATGATTTATGAAACTGTTAGTGGGCGAACATATGTGTGTCGAAGGGCACGCAGGTGTACATGTACATAAATTACTACGAATTATCGATGTAAGATTATAATATAAATAATGTGACATATAAATAACATTTTAGAGAAGAAGCAAAACACGGGGAGACAGACCGAAAACCGAAAGAAAACGTAAAAAAAAAGAAATGAGCAAGAGAGAGAGAGAGAGAGAGAGAGAGAGAAAGCGAGAGAGAAAGAGAGGGAGAACGTGTAGGAGAGAACAAGAGAGATTGTTAGATACATTGTTTCTTATTAGACTGCGGATTTTTATGCGAAATAAACATTGTCTGCGTGAATTGCAAGAAATCGAAACTAAACAGCAAGTTATTTCCTTCTTTAATAATATATTGCAACAGATTAAAAAACTAATACATTGTCATTATTAAATTCTCTTCATCTTTCTACCATTTTAAATTGCAACTACTCCATTTTGCCATGAATGCATAAAATCCGCAGTCTACTTATTATCCATCGATTGTACGATGCGCGGATGATTTCTTGACTGTTGTTGCCGTTGTTGGATCATTTCCGCGATCTCACCACCTCCTATATTTTCGCAAGAACATAGACGTAGCCTGTAATTAGCAATCTGCACCGTTGGCTAGCACGTGGATTTCGCTACCTCACACGTTTCAACCTCTTTTTCGACTATCGGTAATTACAGAGACTTTAGATTCACGTTGTTTCTATACGGAATTCCCGGCTAGATTTTGTTTACGGAATATAAGACTCGCGCTACCATCTGTATAATTTGTAATCGTCCGAAGTGACAATTGGCGATCGGTTTCGTTGAAGCACTCGCGACCGACGAATGAGAGTTCCTCGTTTCAAGATACCTAGCCGTTTGCGTTTTATAGTTCGTTAGGAAAATTCCAAGTTTCTCGAACATTCCAATCGGGTGTAATTAAAGGTCCCGTCTGGATCGATCGCGCTGGCCAAATTCGATTGATCCGCGAAGGCGTCTCAGTTCTCGCGCGTTTTCCACGAAAGAAAGGGTAGGAGAGCCAGGGTCTTGTTGAGTTTTTCAGCTAGAGATCATGTCGCTCTGCGTAACTACTTCATCTATGTAAAAAGAACACTAATTACTAATTCTTCTCGGAAAGAGGATGCGGAAGGTCGAGGAGCTGTTAGAGATTTTTCGAGTTCCAAATAGAACGGGGGAAAGAAGACGCCTCTCTGCTATTTTATTCGTCTAATTAATCATTCTCTGCCGAGATTTCAGGATCACGCCGAAGAAATCGAATCGATCTCTCGACGCGTCCTTGCTCAAAACGCAATTAAAAAACGAAATCTCCCTGTGAAATCCTGCACCCCCATTTTTCTCCCATCGAAATAACAAAGAAACCTTCCCCTTTTCTCCGAGGCGCTTACCGAATGTCCAGGAATCGATAACAGAACAAAGAGGAAAATAAAACAGGCAAAAAAAACCACTACTTAAGATGTTTGTAAGTACGACGAAAAAAATAATTATGCGTAAGATGGCTTCACCACATAGGCAGTTAATATCGTAATTAAATACGAGGTACGAATAATAATCGCGATAATTGGTTGAGTTTGAGCGTCATACGATTCGCTGATTGTGGAATCTATGTTCATCTAGGAGATGATTATGTCTTAGACGTTACTGTATATTAGCCTTAAATAAATACAATTATGGAAAAGATACGAATTTTTCTGTCACTCTCCCCAATTTAACAACTAGAACAGGATAGATGATTAATTAAATTTTGATTATTCTCCCCGCAATAATTTTAATCAGTTCAGAACATATCAACGACCGTAAACTTCCTTAATTTGTCAATGTTAAATTTCTTCTAACACAANGGAGGTGGAGGAGGAGTTGTGGGTGTCAAGGAGCCGCAGACATCTCTAAAACCGGGGGAAATTATACACGCGGCCGGCAGTCGTGTACGAGGCGTCATTAATTAAAACATG